CCCCCCGAACTTATTTTATATATAATTTTCTACCCCTTTTCGGCCTACGTGGCACTATCCTTGAAAAAATTGTCAACACGCGCTGGGCCCACAAGATAGTGCCACGTAGGCCGAAAAGGGGTAGAAAATTATATATAAAATAAGTTCGGGGGGTAATAGGACCTTAGTAAAGGTTAGGTGTGTCTTAGGGATTTTGGACATAGGCTGGGGGGTACTTATGCATTTTCCCAAAGTCGCTATAACAATTTCAACAATTGCTGAAATTGCGGCAATAATTCAAACAATTGTTGAAGTTGCCGCAACAAATACCATAACTATTGCAGCAACTATCGTAGTTGTTGCAACAAGTACCATAGTTATTGTAGTAATTACTAAAGTTATTAGGTTCAAGAGTATAACTGAGGAAAAAGGTGGGTGAAGAGGTATATTTAGCAAAATAGGTTGATGTAGAGTATAGTTTAGAGGTGCTTTTTGCCCTTCTCCATTATTTTTATTATGTAAATGTGGCAAAAAAATTAAAGCATCGCTAGTGGTTATTTATACATGGAATTCTTATGTATATGTACCAGTGACAAATAAAACTTCAACTAAAATGACATGTGTATGGGGAGTGGCGGATCCAGGATTTTACCGCTATAGGTGCTCACTATTTTTAACATAAACTTGAGCACCCACTTACGACCAACGTGCCAACTGAACCGTTTGTTGCATGGGTGCTCGCCTTTAATTTTATACACTATTGTCTTAATTTCTATATAAATATATAGAGGTTCGATAGAAGGTTAATGGGTGCTCGAGCACCCGGAGAGGCCCATGTGGGTCCGCCCCTGTGTATAGGTAATGTATCGATATTATATAAATAATATATAAATAGTATATATATATATATAAAATCTATAATTATGTATTAGAGATATATACATAGATCCATATATACTATGTATACATTCCTTATTATTCTACTTGTGGGCTTCTTTCATATTTGTCCCATCGGCCAAATGCAATTATCGGGGCTAGTCTAAATGTACAAAATGTACACATGACACACACACATGTATATTTATTCAAATACCAATTTGACTAATTTCTAAAACAACAATGCTTACAAAATATGATATATTTTATTATTACCTTTTTTACCCTTATTTAGAAGGGACGGTTGAAGAGGACTAACACAGCATAATAAAATTGTACCAAAAGCAAGTTAAATTGTACTACTTTGCCTTTTTCATAAAGTACATGTACTTCTAACCACGTGTACTTCTTTTCCTTTGCAAGAGAACACGTGTACTGAAGTAGTACTGCACATTACCTTACCCTTATTATTTAGAATGGCACTTCTAAAGGACGAACATTGCATCATATTGTTGTACCCAAGGAAATAGTATTTGTACTAGCAATTTCCCACAATCACGTCACGACGTGTATGCACCTTTTCTAGACATGTGTTTTTGTCTTTTTACTAGCTAATGTGGGATACAACTGTTATCACCTCATTTTTCATTTATATTGGACCCATCTGCTAATACGTGTACTTTTGTAAGCAAATCACGTGTACTGAGTTCTGATCATCTTTTCCATCCCATTTATTAATAAAAAAGTACTTTGTACTGACTGACCTAATTGTGCATCTTCATCTTCACAGAAGGCTTTGGATGTCCGGTGAAACTTTAGTCATTCTTCCACCTTCTTCTTTCAATCGTTGATGTTTAGGTTTTTTCCCACTATCCTCATAAGTTTTGTCTCGAAAATTTAAGTGGTACTTTGATTTTATTTTTTTGTTTTGATTTTAGGTCTTATTTTGTCCACTTATTATTCGAATGGTTTGATTTTTCATTCAATTTGTTGATCTATTCGGTTTTTGTGTTGTAGCTATGTTTCATGAACTGAATTTAGATTTAATTTGATGCTGTTTTGATACGTTTGCAGGGATGAAGCGTAGGAACTTCATATTCAAAATATCTTCCCAATTTCTCCATTTCTCATAGGGTAAGTTGCTGATTTCTTGGTCTACGATTTCAATATTGGAAAACAAATTACACTCTTAAACTGTGTTTCATCTTCTGTAATTTGATTGTAAGAGTTTGTTTTACTTTTTCCTTAGCATAACATTATACTTGCTCATATCCGACTCTGTCCATAATCAAATTATGTGTACTATCCATAATTCTATTACAATCTTTTTTGCTTTTGTGGCTCTCAATTTCATCAGGTTTTTTCTGTATCAAACATTTTAGAAGTTACTACATTTCTCTATCTTGGTGTTTATCTTAGCTCTTTGTATTGGTGAGACTGTACTCTCATTGTTTATAATAACCCAAAAAAAAATTGGGTTGCTTCTTCCTTTGTTGTAAGTTTGTATACATCTCAATTAATTTTCGATGTTCTCAAAAATGTATAAACTCACTAATGGAGCATGTCTCTAATGGTGAACATTTTGGCTGCTCCTTTTTTAAATGTTGATGCACCTAAGGTGTTCGATAGTATGACAAAGCACTACACTATTTCAAATTTTCTTATTTTTCTCATCAGGTTTACTGTAACATACTCCTCTGCCAATCATCAATCTGAATGTTACATTACTTAGTTTTATTGGACAAGATTAGTGAGCAATATGTGTGTTACTTATGGTTATGTCCAAAAAGTTCACTTGAGATGTGTATACTTTGTATGAATGTAGTTCAACTACAGTTTGATATTGTTTGTCCTGACTTTGTGTCCAGCAAAAAAGTAGAATATAACGCGTGACTTTTAGAGAAAAAAATTGTGACTATTACTTTAACAAATTGAGAACTACTTGCAACAGGAATGTCGACAAAAAAAATTGAGAGCGTTGCATGCCTTGAAGGAAGGTTGCAGGTTCTATCCTTTTTGCTAAAAAGTTTGGTTCCCACTGTTTGGGTTAGTTTCTGAACTATCTTCATGACTTCTCCCTGTTTTTCTCACTTTTTCAAAGTGTCAAATATCCTGTTGATGGATATCTGATGGTAGTTTATGGCTTGAGAGCCCTAAGACTTTTAATTGGTCTATCTAATTTCACTAATGTAATCGCTAGATAGTAATTTATAACAATGAATATACACTTCAATCATCTTAAAAGTCTTAAACAATTACCTGAACAAGTTGGTAATTTGTTTTAAACACAAAAACTATAATTAATGTTGATAATAGGGATGATCGAAACAGTATATTGGATACCATATATTCTAACTTAAAATGTCACAGTTGATTCGCTATTACAAGGTATTCAATAGTGTTTGTCTTAGCTGAAAATACATCTATTTACCTGTAACAAAAGCTCACGTTTTCTGTCTCGCTGTTTATATAATACTCTCCCTGTTTCAATTTGTTTGTCCTATTTTGACTTGACATGAAGTTTAAAAAAATATAAAAGAATTTTGAATCTTGTGGTCTAAAAGTTATGTCAAATGGACCAAAATGTCATCTAATCTTTTGTTTTTAAACATTTGAGGTAAAAAATTGAAATTGAAGAGTTGCTTAAAAAAGGAAAGAGACATTCTTTTTGGGACTAAAAGGAAAGTAAGACAAATAAATTCTACCGGATGGAGCAATTCTTCTTTGTAAGTATCACTTATGTATTAATAACTGTTATGTTATTTATTTGA